AAAAAAAAAACCAAAACGATATTCAGCTTCAATTTAATATATATTTCAGGTATTTATGACAGCACTTTTGTGTTGATTGGTTCTTTGTAGCGGATTGATTAAACAGAAGCTATTCGCAGAAGAAATACAAAGTGATAAACGTTCTGTTCTACAGCTTGGCTTTATCCTATTTTGAATTCAAGAACGATGCAAGAAGTGAAAGAATAGAATTTTGAATTCTATGCTCGTAGTATAATCAGTAGATACAAAAGAAATCATCCTTCAAAAACTAAAGCTCTGTTAATTTAAAATGAATGTGCTGTCTGTTACTACCAAGGGGTGTTTCTGCAGGGCTAATGGAGATTATTTTGTAAATCCTTCTTTGAGGATAACTTACTTTTTCCCTGTATGGAAACGCTACGGAGATGATATAGATTTCAACTGCTTGTCTACAGACAGTATTTTGCCAAATGACATAACATCCAGTCCCGTTATGACTCAACAAAGCACCTCTCACTTTTGTCCGGTAGGCTTGCCAGCACATAGCTACCGATTTGTAGCTACTGGGTTTTCTTCTTAGGGCAACTGAAGCTGAGTTCATCTTGTTCTGACTGGTGTTCTCTTTGTGATTGCTACCTTGTATACTTCGTTTCACATCTGTTGCCCTGTGTTTTCCTACAAAGAATAAAAGGTTCTTAGAACCAGGTTAATGGCTGGCAAGCCTGTTAGTAGATACTTATGTAACAGGTACCTCACATCTTTTCTGCAATATTGCATCGCATGAACTTGCTGATACAAACCTTTTCATTTTTGTTGTTGTTTACCTGAAAATTCTTGTCAGTGTTTGAGGAGGCCGATGTTGTGCAATGCTGGTGGTCGGATACTTCTTTTAGTGCAGAGCAAACGTTTTCACACTTAGATAATATTGTATATTAAGCTAACGTTTCGAAACATAGATGTGCAGTTAATAATTCAGCTTTGGTAATTAGGCAGGTGCTGTGAGTACAAAACTAAACAGATGTCAAAGAATAATTCACTAGCTAAAAACCCCAGTGTATTTTTCACACTTAAGGATTAGAATTGATCGTACGTCTGGAAGCGAAACATTTTACCAATGTTTTGGAGGCGTGCTGGGATTATAAATGTAACATGTAACTTTGTAAGCAGTTACCATATTAATAATTCGATTACCTAAGCTCCAAAGTTGACGCATGTTAATGAATCCACCGCTTCCACAGTACATCCCCTCCCCTCACTAATATAAAGCTTTGATCAAAATTCCCTTTGAACTGATGAGAAGATGATTAGCATTTTAAAACTAAATAATGATGGCTCGCAATTTTGAAAAAATCAGGTAAATTTAGCTCAGGTTGAAAGTACATGTTATGCTTGTCGTTATATGTGTGTGCTTATTTTTTTTAGGACCTCAAGAACAATATAAAAATGCAACTTGAGTTTTTTAGAGCAATAAACACTTTTTTTTTTTTTTTTTTTTTTTTTTTTTTTTAAAGGAAGAATTTGAGAACTATTTGGAGATATTTTTGGAAGTATACACGGTATCACTTGTGCATTTTCATCCATTAAAAATGGTTTCAACAGCAATGAAAACCATCCGTGTTTAACTTTTTTTAGAGTCAGCATACCTACGTGTGGTAAAGAATGCTGCAAAAAAAAAACCCCCATAAAGTAGTAATTAGCTCTGGCAAAAATAACATGGAGACGTTCTGCATGTCCATTGTGCTTTGGGAGTAGGTTTAAAAGATGATACCTTGAAGTATAAGTCACCTCTTGCATCGAAAATTCCATTCGTTCGCTTGGCAATGCTAACTTAAGTCTACAACATTAAAGCTATTCAGAATTTCCAAACTTACAGCGATCTTTTTAGTTTGAAAGAATTATAAAATTAAATGAGATTAATCTTTCTAGGATTTAAGAATTATTATTCTAAGAACTTTCTTTGAAAGTGGGAAATTATTTTTTGTGGGCAAATAACTTGAAGTTTCGTGTTTCCTCTTAATCCGTTAAAGATTACAGCCGAGCATGTACCTCAGCTGTAGGATTTTGGACTCACAAGCTTTTGTTTTAACGAAAAAAGAAAATACATTGCCTTAAAAACGACTTTGAGGTAACAGTAAAGAGCTTATGTTTCAGCCTTTAAATGTGTATTTTTCCCTTCAGAAATGCGAGAAGATGGCCTCTTATGATAGATCCTCAGGGTCAAGCAAATAAATGGATAAAGAATATGGAAAAAGTCAATAGCTTGCACGTAATCAAGCTCAGCGACCCTCAGTTTGTTACGACACTGGAAAATTGCATTCAGTTTGGCAGTCCTGGTAAGTTATTGAATAATGAAAGCGTAAATTACAGGAAAACCTAGAGAGGGCACAATTAAATAAAAAACAGAACTCCGGCATTAAATTATAACTATCATCATTGATGTCTTTGATGCAGGTTATAAGCTAATTCTTAGGAGAAAACGATTCTAATCCTCAGTTTAATTGGTATCTTTTAATTGCTCTGCAAGAACTGTCACGTCTTTGTTTTCACGTTACAATCATTTGACTTCTAAAAAGTAATGTTGTTTCTATTTATGGCTTTTTAAGAGTATGAATTACCGAAGTGCTAGGCTGTGATAATTTAATGATTCCTGGATTCTGTAATTTTACTGCAGGCTGCCGTACTGTTGTACCCTCAAACATAAACGAGTTAGTTAATAGAATACGTAATGATAATCGCAGCTAATTTAGTTGGATAACTGGAGCTGAAGTAAAGAAATAGATTGTTTATTCTCCATTATTTTTCTTTTGATTTTGATATTCTTTCAGTCTTGCATTGAAAGACAAGAAGGCGTGGATACTCAAAGTGATTTCTTTCGGTGGCACGTGGCGTATGATTTGTTGTTACGTCCATTTTTAAGAATGGTAATCCATCGGCAGCAGTAATAGGAGTTTCAGCTGCTTGTTTGAAAATAGATATAATATTAGGGAAAAAAGATGAAATTAAAAATTCAGTTCTTTAATTTGGTTTTCATTTGGCCGAACGCTCTAAGAAACGTTAATTAGATATGTAAATTTTGCCCGGTTGATATTTTCACTTTTTGTGCATTGCTTACAAATTGCAAAAGACAGTCACTGAGTAGTATAAATAGTATAAATGCCGAGACGGCCCTACTAACGCTTACGTTGTGTTGAAGTGCTTCTAGAGAATATCGGAGAAGAACTGGATCCTATTCTAGAGCCACTGTTGCTCAAACAGACGTTTAAGCAGTCGGGAAGTATATGCATTTGCCTCGGAGACTCCACTATTGAGTATGCTCCTGAATTCCGCTTTTATATTACGACTAAGCTGAGAAATCCACATTATCTTCCTGAAATATCTGTCAAGGTGAGAATTTTGAAAGTACAACTCTGTTTTAACTTCACAGTGATTCCTTGGCTTCAGCGGGGAAGGTTTTTTGGCATTTGTTGATTCTTCCTCACTTAGAATTTTTTGTTTTCTTTTTGGCACTGCTGGAAGACCAGTGTTGTATCTCGTATCTAATACGTCACCTTGCAATACCAACGTATTTTCATACTCTAAGAAAATGTTGATTTATTTTAACACCTTTTCCAGTCTGTATCTCTTGATGCTCTCAGTAACCTTTACTACAAAAGCGTATTCAGGGTTTTAATATAACATTTGCATGACGTGCGAACTCTAGTTAGACTTTCATATTCAAGATTCTTTTTGTAGTACAGGTAATTTCTGACATTGTGCCTCCTTTATGAAAGATATAAAAATAAAATTTAATATATATAAAATATAAAATAATAAAATAACAAATGCTAAAATGGGGACATAATTTTTATATTCGAGGAACAAAAAAAAGCATTTTTCTGCTTTCAAGAATAAAATGGGTGGGTTTTTTTCATCTTAAAATTACTTGAGAGAAGTATTGCACTTTTTCTTCATCATTCCTTTTAAAGAGTTTTTAATTGAAAAGTATTGTAAATCGGCACTTTGGCTAAAGGCTGTACTGAAACGCAGAATCTTTGAGTCAAGCTTTGTAAACGTGATATTCAGCAATGTGGAAGGCTAAGTTTCAACTAAGGAGTACTGAAAGTAGGGGAAAAAAGCGCAAAAATGAACGAAAGGGAATAACTTTTGTTCAGTTCTTTTATCAAAAAAGATAATTACCGTCAGGTTCAGGAAAAGAAAAAAAAGATGAAATATAACAGGAAAGAGAGCTTACAAAAGATGTACTCTTAGACTAGTACGTATGTATTTAAAATTGTATGAAAATTGTTTCCTAAGAATTGCTGATAGTTAATAGAATTAAAATCTTCTAGTTGTCAATCAGCAATTGATACAGGGAGAAGACAGAGAAGTAATATCTAAATAAATTTGTCCAAACGTAATTGTAACACCCTTTGCTGTGATTATCCTGAAGGTCGTTCTGGAGAGAGCTAATGGAAAAAGAGTCCAGAGAAAATAGTTATTGATAGGGCTATCGTATTTCATAGAAATGATCGTAATGAATTCTGATGTCTTATATAGCGAAGCCTTCAAAGACACATATAGAACGTATTTGCAGTACAGAGATATATTTGCAGTTATTAGTCATTCAGAGTATCTTTCCTGCATTTGTAAGATTATTTATTAGAAATTGTGTAATTCACAAAGCACTAAAAAACCTCATGATTTTCGGCTCTAGGAATGCTGTCTATTCATGTGCGTTAAAAACATCATTACGGCCCTCTGAGGATAAGGAAGAATGCAGATCTTAACGTTTGCGCTTAGTCCTCAAAGATTCCGGTATCCGAGCCAGCCAGCTTTTCAGAGCGTAGCCCCTCTGGCCAAAAGTTACCTCAGAGCTGCTCATAGCAAACCTTTTGCTTGGAGGAAGAGAAATGGAGCTTCTGAAATGTTCCTATGTTTATAACCTTTAGATCTATATAATCTGTATATTTAGATCCCTCTATATATTATGTATCAGTTTACCAGTATTAAAATTCTGAGAGAAGATGGGGGAAGAAATTAGGCCGCGATGCTTATGAAGATCATAATGATTCTTAGAGTCACATACAACTGAACTTTCTCTCAAAATTCCCATTTAAAAAAAGCAGTGAAAGAGCCTCAAATGAGGTGTGGTGTAAGGAATATCTATTAATGTTGTATTTTAAGAAAATGAGAATACTATTCGTATTAACTTC